GATAATCATTTCTTTCAAAAAAATTCCATGCTTTACCGTACACAACTATGTTGTGATCGGACACACCCTGATGTAGCGCACAAGTCACATGGCTGGTCTACTTGGAGAGGCATTTAGATGATTGCTATTTACAAGTAATTCTGTAAGACACTGCCATCACGTGGAAGGCCTGTTCTAGACTGAGGAAAGCATTAAGTGGACTTAAGCATTTTTGAGTTTTCAGACCAAATAGCCCTCCAGAAGACCCATCAATTTGTGTTCCCATAAAAGCTGCTCAGAATGCAAGGTTACTTAAAATCCCCAAAAAGAAAAAAAAAAAAAACAGAAGAAAACACTTTTGCAAATGCTAAGTGTAAGGTCCATTCCTGGATGGCCAGCAGATCCCGCCCAGTGCCTGCATTACCTAGGCAACTGGGACACCTGGAAGAGGTCACATCTGCATCCACTGAGGTCACATCTGAATCTCATGTGGCCACACCTTTCTCTCACCTGGTCCCACCTCTTACCTGGTCCCACTTCCCTTTACCTGGACACACCTTTCCCCGCCCCTACCCCATATAAGGCCTAACCCAGGGCCAGATGCTCCTTTTTGCCAGCCGCGTGGAGTGCCAACCTTGCCTGGTCCCAGCAGGTCTACTGAATAAACCTACCCCTTACCTGAATACCACGTGTGTAGCGCTGTTCTTACTCGGCTACCTCTTTTTAAAAACCTAACACTAAGCACCATCATTTTTTTGTCTTTACTGTTTTGTGGAAAACAACCTCGCTCATGCTTTTGATTTATATTTGACCCATTAGGAAATAAGGGTTTCTAGTTGCTTGTCATTTTTAAAAATAAAAGTTTATGAATAGTACCTTTTACCCTTTTTTTTCTTTCCATTTTAACCAGGTGCTCATCTTTATCCATGGAAAGAATGCCTTACTCTGGCAAATGGGTAATTGAGCATTACACTTTGCTTATGGTTAAATTGGTACTTTTTCATCTTCATAATTCCTGTCTTCCTTTTCCCCTTTCTTTGCTAGTAACCAGAGCTTGAGCGCTGTACCTCAATGTTCCGTCCTCTACATTTTTGCTCACGATTGCTGCTCTACTACTTGGGCTATTCCTCAGGCTAGCTTTTTGCTGCTTAATGAAAGATGGGAGTCTCACAGACTTTTCTGCCTGTGCAGGCTTTGAAACCTGATCCTCTAGGTCTCACACCTTTTGAGTAGCTAGGATGACAGGTGTGAGTATCACAACCTGGCCATTGCTTCCTACGTTCTAAAAGGTATCCTTCCTAAAAGATGGTGAAGATGAGGCCTCCCTCAAAGACGAGGAGGAAGAAGAGGTGATGGAGGAGGAGGAGGAAGGTGAAGACATGAACAAGATGATGATGATGAGGATGGGGGAAGAGACAAAATAAAAAATATCTACTTCCTGTCCTCCATGCCCCATCTCTCTTCTAGGACTGTGTGTACAGCGTAGAGTAGTCGATTTAATCCTTGAATTACCTTACAACATCAGGAGTCATTTTTACTTGATTGCCAGAGGAGGAAAACTGGGACCTAGCGAGAAGTTAACTAGTCCAGATGTTGGCAACTGCAACTCTCAGCACCATGCATGTGCAGAGGTTTGGACAACTGTGAATTCAGCCATTTCTTGGGTGCCAGGGGGGTGATTATGACGCTTTTTTATTACCAAGGAAACAGTTTAATCCACAGGAAAATGGAGCAATGAAATGATTTAGGACACACAGTGAGGCAGAAATGCAGATGGTTAAGTCCCAGGCCTTCCTGGTATTGGATGGGGTAGCCTTTCACACTGCTCACATCCTGCAGCAACTAAGTGTTTGGGGGCAGCGGACGATGGCTTCTGGACGTGGAAATTGCTCTGGCACTTGCAGGTTGGTGGCTGCCGCTATTAGTCCCAAAAGGATAGCTACAAAGAAAATACTCTGTAAACTGTATGAGAAGCATGGATTTACAGCTCGAACCGGTCAAACCATTGCCTCGAACACTTCATTTCTTGAATGGACTCTCACCTGTGGGAGCAGGTAGCCAATCCAAGGCTTCTCAAAAGCCACAGGTCTCTGCCTCACACAGCTGCTGAGTGAAGAGCCACGGCTCTATCTTTGAGCAAAGTGTATTTACTTCTGTCCTGAGACTGAGGGGATGCAAATGAGCCAGCACGTCTTGTCTGACCTTCTGTGGTGGGAAGCACCAGCAGAAAAGCCCAGAGGGACACCCAGTAGGCATTGCTACTGGTCCCCAAGGCGTACAGAAAGTCCAGCCACAAGCAGCAATGGAATAGGAGTTTCTTTTTTGCTTTGTTTTCTTTGGCCCCAGGACTGCAGCTTAAACTCAGGGCCTCATGCTATTGCCTACTTGTTTGTTTTTAACTCAAGGCTGGTGCTCTACCGCTTGAGCCACAACACTACTTTCAACTTTTTACTGGTAAACTGGAGGTAACTGTCTCTTGGGGGCTGGCTTTGAACCATAATCCTCAGATGTCAGCCTCCTGAGTAACTAGGATTACAGGTGTGAGCTACCAGCACTTTCTACACAATGTAGTTGGGCAGTCACGGGATGCATTCTGCTGTTGCCTTGTCAAAAGCCTGGGTATTCATATACCGTTTACAGCTGGTGCTCTACCACTTGAGTCATGCAACAGCCCAGTTTTTTTGTCTTTTTTCTTGCTGTCTCACTATCGTTCAGTCATGCTTTGCTGAGCTCAGCCTCCTGAATAGCTAAGATGATAGACGTGAGCCACTGGTCCCCAGTTTTCCATGGTAAGACAAAGCTCATGGCCTGTTGATCATTTTAATTTCAAGGGGAGCCCCCTTAATCATTATAGGGCGGGTCCTGGGTCCCTCAAGATTGTTACCACAGCCTGATAGTGTGATGCCTAAAATGCACAGAACCAAGCCACAAGCTCCAGAGCTGTGGTCTGGCCTTGACACTGTAATGACAGGCCAGGGCTCTCTCCTGCCATCTGTTGGTGACGGCTGGTTTCCGCATCCACTGAGCGCGGTGGCAGGCTATGATGGTGACCCCCGACCCCTCCCAATCTCCCACCCATGGCTTTGTTTTTCAGTCCTGGGCATCTGTAAAGAAGGAATCCTTTGGACAAGACAGCATGCTCATTCCTGGGTATTGAGAACTCTTCCTCATTTATGCTTTGTTTCTGGCTTTCTGGTTTTTCCAACGTACTAGGTCTTGAAGAAAATTTACCCACTAACACATAGGGGGCCAAGAGCACCCTGAAAAGCTTTTGAGGATGAAAGCCCTTGAGAGAAGGCCATGCCATCCCACATCATGCCACAGTGGTTGGTGAATGGCCATGAATACAATACAGACACATGTACACTGGGGAAGATGGGCAGGGGTGGTTTGAATGTTTATTTCCTCCACCATCACTAGGCTATCAGTGCTGCAGGGCAAGAGAATTCCTTTGTTTTTGCTCATTGCTCATGATAATGTCTCCAGGAGCCATCCTCCAACTGTGCCCCCACATTCATACACTGATGCTCTAACACATATGTGACTAGATTTCAATGTAGCATCTATAAAGAAACAAGAGAGGTTAGGAGAGGTCATAAGAATAAGGCCCTAATCCAAATAAGACTGGCAGCTTAGAAGAGACATCAGATCTGTCCCTGCTCTTCTCCCCCATCTCTTTCCCTCTCTACCTTCTCCCTCCCCCTCTCCCCACAAACACACATACACACACACACACACACACACACACACACACACTCATACACTAGAGCACATAGAGAAGAGATGGTCTATAAGTCAGAGAGAGAGAGAGAGACAGACAGACAGAGACAGAGACACAGAGAGAGACAGAGCCCTCGACAGAAACCATCCCTGCCAGCACTGTGATCTTGGACTAACAGCCTCTAGCACCATGAGGCGCTAAGTACCTGTTGTTTAATACAGCCTTTTTGCCTTCCCCTAACTAATACATTGGTATATCTCGTTGCTTAGAATAGTGATTGGAAATTAAGATACCCTTTGGATAATAATGATTCAACAGAATGCTGCTGTTTCTACATACATTCTCCACTCCATCTGCCTTTCTCTCATTAAAAAAAAATTCTACTTTTCTGAGAATTCTCTCTCTCTCTCTCTCTCTTTCTTCAACTGAAGCTGTCAATCACTTAACTTCAAGTGGACCTAACCCAGGTCTTCTTGCCACTGATTGGCCCAGAAGCAGCATGTGACCCAATCACAGAGAGACTAGCACTCCTTCACTATGGATAAGCTTGAGCCTGTTTGCTTTTTTGAGGCCCTGCTCTCTCTCCCTCTGTCAACCTACTCCCTTAGCTGGCTGGGAGATGGGGTGGTCATCCACATGTCACTAGCTGCTATTGGACTGGTCTCCAGAGCTCTCCTCTGCCTGGATGCCTTCAGTCTGAAAGGTAGGAACCATCATTCCACAAAATGAGCAAACAGAGCCCCCAAACTCCACTTAAATCTCTGCTTTGTTTGCCCTTGTATTTCTCGCCACATGGATGTATGTGCTTGGTTTCTAGAAGAAGCAGTTCAAATGAACTGGGTTGATGAAAAAGCGCAGACTAGAGGAGTCCTCTCCTCCATCTATCTGCACACAGGTACCTCTGATAGCCAAAGATTAAGAAAAATCTACATTTCTTCTCAATCTCATAAACTAAAACTTAAATACCTGGAGGTTTTTTTTGTTTTGTTTTGTTTTGTGATGGTCCTGGGGCTTGAACTCAGAACCTGAGCACTGTCCCTGAAATTCTGTGCTCAAGGCTAGCGCTCTGCCACTGGAGCCACAGCTCCACTTCTGGCTTTTGGGGAGTTCATTGGTGTTAAGAGTCTCACAAGCTTTTCCTGCTGGGGCTGGCATTGTACCATGATCCTCAGATCTCAGCCTCCTGAGTAGCTAGGATTACAGGCATGAGCCACTGGCACTGGGCTGTGGGACACTTTTATTCCAACCTGCACTAAGTCTAGAAACCATGTGACACGTACGTGGTTTGGATGTGGTCATGGTATTTATTTATAATATACTTTCACAATGTGTTAATTAATTAATAGTGGAGAGTAATGCTTATTCATATATGGAATATACCTTTTCTTGGAGCACTCTGCATGGAGGGGGCAAGTCCCACCAGGTTTTCCTAATCTCTTTGGTTTGGGAAGTGCAGGAGGATTCTCGGGTTGAGTGCCCTGCATGGCCCACTGGTGCCAGCATCCGTCCCTTCAAGTCAGCTTGGAAGGGCACGTCAGCACTTCCAGTTTGGAAAGAAGTGACAGAAAGTGGATTCACAGAAGCCTGGAAAGACTCGAGTGCATTCGTGGAAGGTGTCTTCGACCCCACAGCTCACTTTTCACATGACATCACAAAACCCGCAGGGCACTGGGCTCACGGCCGGAACGTGGAGAGAAGTTCTGTCATTGGCCACTTTTCCCCATGACCCGGATGATGCTGATTCTCTTCCAGAACTCCTGTGGTATGCCGAGAAAGCCCGATGGCCAATCCCCGACGGCGCCTCCTCCGTCCTGAGTTCATGGGCAAGACAGTGAGAAACCCTTACTCTCCCAGTGTCACGCTGGTGGGGGTTGCAGAAGACCAAGGCACCATGGGTAGAAGCAAAGCATATTAACAACGGCGACGACAACCAAGTCCAACTCTCTTCCAAAGAAAACATGTCCAGAAATCAGGGCCCATAGCTGCTCTTATTCTCTCCAAGTGACACGTCCACTGGAAACTGTCCTCCCATCCTCCCTTTTAGTAAAAATGTTTCCATTTCGGAGCCTGAAGATCACTTAAAAAAAAATACAATAATAGCACCAAGGCAGCACACTTTTTGTTCTTGTTTTTCCCAGAGATCATGTGACACGGAATACTTCATATAAGGAATAGCTGGCACAGTCAGTGATAAAAGATCATTTTCCTACAGTTGCCAATAACTACCCTTATGGGGCTCTCATAGCACCTTGATGACGGCTAGGTTGTTTTAAAAAACAAAGACAAAAACAAATCACAATTGTTTTTTTTTAAAAAAAGGTAACAGGAACACATTTACAGCTAAGAAGTAAACAAGAGTGTACCGTGATGCAAGTCACCTTTGTCCCGGAAGGCCATAGAATGTAGGGTACGTAAAATGCAGCGGTCGGACTGCAGGAGCCCCGGGAAGCAAAGGCAGTCACAATAAAATCATTTTACGTACAAAAAATATTACATCACAATAAATAATTTCAGACATAAATATTAAACTTTACATCATTAGGATATTCCACAGGTTGAGTAAGCCCTCATTTAGAATATTTGGTGCGGTTGTGTCTCCCATTCCAGAGGTGTACAGAATGTGGAAGTAGCTGAATACACATAATAAGATTTTGGGGGAATGAAACTCAAAGGCTACACACGAAATATCACTTCTGTTTCAGATGCACCTTCTACACACTGCTGTGTGTACCAGGTCATGTTGCATAGGCATTTAAATAATGGTTGTGCATGAAGCCCGGTCTTGGTGAGGAATTTTTCTAGGTCAGGGGTCACACTGGCGATCGAAAGTTTCAGAAGTTGGAGCATTTCTGATTTCAGGTTTTCAAATCAGGGATGCTCAACCTGTATATATATTTATATATCTATATACATATCTATATACATATGTCTATATACACACATCCACACATTCACATATACACGTATACAGGTATACACACATGCACGCGCACACACATGCACACACACACACTCTAATTTAAGGTGGAGGTATTGCTTTACTATCCTTCATCCATCCCAGAATGTCTTCCTCTTCAGAGCATCTGAAATAAAGAAATCAGGAAATGTAAGTCTTCTGTCTCAAATGCCCTAAGTCAAGAGCAGGTAGAACAGTGATTTTTCTATGTAGAGTCAAGAAACACATGATTTTCTTTGGATTTAAGAAGTGTTACTGTTTTTATTTTTGTTCTAGTGACCTGGAAGTTGCAGGAAAGTAATGAAGAATAAAAAATTACTAGGATGAAATCGCCTTCTCTGAGATAATATTCAAATACTCAAGTATTGGTATATTGCTTTCCAAGCTTTTTATAATATATATTATGCATTTTAAATAATATGCATAGCATAATTTTCCTACCATCGACACTATGCAGATATAATATGTATATTGCATGGGTGCAAATACTACATACATGTCCTGATAATATGTTATGTATGGTATCATGTATTAGAATAACAATAGAACATATACAAAATGTATCTTATTGGATATAAAATATAACCAAATGTCAGGCAGGTCACCTTCAGCTGGCACAATAAAGGAGTGGCTCTGCGTTAACCCTTCCAAGGAAAAGTAATGAAAGATGGTAATCAAACAAAAAATTCAAATAAAATAATAACTGGGTGATACCTGCTGAATTTTGCCTACCCTGAGCCTATCTTCTTTATTCTAATAAATCTCTTCTAGTCCTTTGGAGACAGTCCCTCTTCTAACTGAAGCTACCATTTAACTTTACATGGATTCCCTACCTCAAGTGCCATGTACATTGTGATTGGCTCAGAAGCAGCCAGTCAGAGCCAGAGTTATTTTTTAGAATGAATGCTGCATGCTAAGAGTATTTATTTCAACCATCAGTTACAAGGAATATATATATATATATACATATACATACATATATATATATATATATATATATAAACAAATTTTTCCCTAGCACTGCCTGGCAACATAATTTGGGGAGACAATTTCCCTAAGGATGTAACAAGTTAAAAGCCATCACTACCGACGATTAATGACGGATAACTGTTTGAGCCTCTGTATCCATCCACCCCTAAACCTAAGACACTACTTAGAAATTTCAGTTATTCAACATATTACCTATATTCCCTTTACCCCTCACTGCAGAAATACTACTAATTTGAGAACATAATTCTGTAGCCAAATGTTTAATTACACATTAAAGTATGAACACACACATCTCAAATAGGCACTGTTGTCTCTGGATCTTAAAGACCTGTATAGGGTAATGGATGGACTGATAATAAAAGATATAATGGTGCTGGACACCAGTGGCTCACATCTGTAATCCTAGCTACTCAGGAGGCTGAGATCTGAGGATCAAGGTTCAAAGCCAGCCCGGGCAGGAAAGTTTGTGAGTCTCTTATCTCCAATAAACCACTCAGAAAACTGAAAGTGGCACTGTGGCTCAAGTGGAAGAGTGCTAACCTTGAGCTGAAGAGCTCAGGGACAGCATTCAAGCCCAGAGTTCAAGCCCCATGATCGACCAAAAAAATAAATAAATAAAAGATAATGGTGAGCCCTTCTCCCATGTAGGTGAAGAGACCAAAAGAAGAAAAGATAACCAATTCAGCTCAGTGTCCAGCAGAGGGAGCACTTGCTGGACTAATGTAGTGAGACCAGCCACTGCCAAATGTTCATGGAGATGTTCTGATGGGGTTCATTAAAGTGCAGATTCTAATCTTTTTGGTAAAGATTCAAAAAGAAAATCATGCATGTAAATTGCTTAACATGGCAAGCAGGGGATCAGTAAATGTCATTGTTATTATTACTGTTGTTGTTATTATTAAATTCCTAGGTAGTATTTATCAAAACGTGATCTGTGAGTCCCCCTGCATCAGAATTCCCTGTATTGGGCTGGACACCTGTAATCACCCAACAGGCTGATATCTGAGGATCAAAGTTTGAAGCCAGCCCAGGCACATGAAACTCTGTAAGAACTCTTATCTCCATTTAATAACCAGTAAAAATAAGCAAGAAGTGGAGGTGTGGTTCAAGTAGGAGAACACCAGCATTGACTGAAAAAAAGCCAGGGGACAGTGCTCATGACTTGAGTTCAAGTCCAAGTACTGGCACGCGCGCACACACACACACACACACACACACACACACACACACACACACACACACACTTCCCTGTATGAAAAATTCAGAGCCTGGATCTACTGGACTGCTAATGCAGAAGGATCTCTAGAGATAGATCACACTAGGCTGCATTTTCAATAGGCAACACAGAGCAATTGGATATATAAGACCTAGGACCCTCGTGCCCCAGAGTGAGGACACGTAGCTTCCATCATGTGAAGATAGATGAGTCGGTGGATAAAAACCATCACAGGAACAGATCAGCTTCAAGATGTTTCACAGGAAACCCAATTAGGCCATAGAAAAATAATTATAAGATGGGCAGACGGACATAGAAATACTTACCTTGGCTATAGAACTCGAACCTCCAGGCCAGTACCAGAGGATGGAGTGCATTTTCCACAGTAACCACCACATTTCCCTATGACTCGGGTCCCGTCCTGCCAAGAGACCACATCGTCATAGATTGCTTGCCTGCCAGATGTGTGCAGGATGTGTGCTGGCTGTGGAAGAAATTCGTTTTGCACACACAGCAGTCCGGCCTTCTGAACTGAAATGAAGCCCACACCTCACACTCATACTCAGCAGAATCTGCTAGGTGTTGAGTGGAGAAGAAAGACACTTGCTCCAGTGTGAGTGATTAGAAGTCTCAGGTTAGTCCTGGCTACTTTCCACTAGGAGGAACTTGGAGGAAGAGCTTCAGGGAGTTCCAGTTCCAGTCAGGTGCTTGATGGGTTTGATTGCCTATCATGGACTGAATCCTCACCAATTTCAAAATTGCTTTGTGAGGAGGACAATTTGAATTCCTTGCTTCATCCTACCACAAGGCAATTCAGTAGCTAAGTGGTAGTAAACTTTTTTTTTTTTTATTGTAGAGCTTGAACTCTGGGCCTGGGCGCTGTCCCTGCGCTCTTGAGCTCAAGGCAAGTACCCTACCACTTGAGCCACAGCGCCACTTACGGTTTTCTGGTTGTTGACTGGAGATAAGAGTCTCACGGACTTCCCTGCCAGACTGGCTTTGAACCGTGATCCTCAGGTCTCAGCCTCCTGAGTAGCTAAGATGACAGGCGTGAGCCACCGGTACCTGGTCTAATTTTTTTTTTTTTGAGCTCAGGACTAAGATTACAATTTTTTTTTTAAAAAATAAGAGCTGTTTCCAATCACCATAAGTGAACATTAGCTTTGCTACTGATTTGCTGCTGTTGCTTCTTCTTAATGAATTGAGCTGAGCAATCCAAAGCAAACCAGCCCATGGAGGCGGAGTTTATAATGTAGTAAACTCTTTCCAATAAAATGGACACTGTTGAAATCACAACTGATGCCAGCATGCTTTCACACTTCCTGTGTTTCCGGAAGTTAAACCAAGCAGCACCTCTCTCTACCACATGAGCTCACAGTAGCTGATTTTCTGTGTATAAATGGCAGTTCCTTATTATATTTTCACTTATTTAAGCAGGAAGGGATTTTGTATTTGAAGATCTATTTAACAAGGATGTTCAATCGAGAAGCTTCCATTTCAAGTGATTAATTTGCAATGTAATCATAGACTGGAAGGCAAATATCAAGAGAAACAAATGCTAATAGAATTCTATAAATGCTTGCCAAGTTATGAGCATGCTCAATTAAAGTTACATCCTTGTGGACAGCTATCTGGGTTCAGCAATCTTAATGAATGTAGGAAGAAACTTAGCAACATGAAACAAAATCTCATTTCAGATCCGCACTAATGGATGGCATTTCTTCACAATTAATGTCTGATAATAGAAAACGTTGAACAAAATATTTTTCCTCTGTTAATATTCCTCCCCCCACCCCCACTTTTTAACTGGTAGATTTGCATTCAAAAAATTTACTCTGTAAGATAGATGGAGGTGAATTTGATCAACATGCATTATATGTAAGTTGTAAATATTACAATGAATCGCCTATTTAGTATTAACTTACAAAAGTAAACGTTTTATTATTTTGAATTTAAATATTTTTGCCCATTCTTTTCTCCTTTTAATTATTCTTTTTTTTCCTTTTTGCTGGTCCTAGAGCTTGAACTCAGGGCCTGGGCACTGTCTCTGAGCTTCTTTTCGCTCAAGGCTAGGACTCTACCACTTGGGCAACAGCGTCACTTCGAGCTTTTGCTGTGTATGTGGTATGCAGAATAGAACCTAGGGTTTCATGCATGCTAGGCAAGCACTCTACCACGAAGACATCTTCCTAGCCCTATCCTTAAGTTTTAATGCTTTTGTATTATCTTTAAGCACTTGCCCAAAAGTGCTTCAATTCAACAAATCGGCTTACGAGAACAATGCATGTTGAGATTCATGTCACCCCTTCCATCATTTCTCACCCACATCTCCCAACCCCAACCATCTCCTCAAGTTACCTGATCCCATTTTCACACTGAATACACTCAATGTGTATTGGCCCACCCTTCTTTTATATGAATGCATATGTGATATTATCAGTTTTCTTTTGCTCCCCCAAATCTAAAATATTTACTCTTTGGTCTTTCACTAAAAAAAGGTTGCTGACGCCTGGCCTCAGCCTTACACTATATAACTTGGACCCCATTCCCCAGACTCCATCTCTCCAAAATAACTAGCAAAAAGCTGGACTGGAGGCGTGGCGCAAGCAGGTACAGTGCCAGGGGTGAGCATTGGAAAAAGCCAAGAGATAGTATGCAAGCCTTTGAGTCCGGGGAGGCAGTGTTTTAACAAGGCTGGCTGGAGATGCCAAGGCACAGGAGAATGAGCTTCCACAGGTTTCCTTTCTGCACACTTCGACCCAGCCTCTAGCGCAGGCTGGGCGGAAGAGGTGCGATTTCCCACAGCGTCCCCAGGGGGCGCTGCTCTGTGGACCACCATGTAAACCAGACCCCGGCCACAGGCTGCCAGGAGCTGGGCAATCCCAGTGTCTGGGTTTGCTCGCCGGGCCCTGAGATGAACTCTCTGAGCCCAGGCTCTCAGGGCTGTTGCAGAACAGCAAGGTCAAGAACAAAATAGCTGTCAGAACCCGTCCCAGTCGGTGCAGTTACCACTGTCTCCAGCAGGTGGCGCTCCAGTCTTGAATTGTTTTTGGCATCTGGGCTGACAAGTGCAGGGTTGATTGACATTTGGCTAACAGAACTGCGGTGTATGTGACACAGTATTGTTGGTGTTTCCTACCAACACGTTTCAGCCTGCTAATCTTTTTTTGTTCTTCTTAGTTATTGAAACATAATGAACATTTCAAAACATGTTATGCATGATAAAATTATATTAATTTTGTTTTTCAGTCAAAATTCTCTACACAGAAAAGGCATTTAGGAAACAAGACATGGAGCTGGGTACTTGGTGGCTTACACTGTAATCCTAGCTACTCAGGAGGCTGAGATCTGGAGGATCAAGGTTCAAAGTCAACCTGAGCAGAAAAATCTCTGAGACGACTTCCAAAGTAACCAACAAAAAAGCTGGGCTGGGGATATGGCTCAAGTAGTAAAGCAGAAGCCAAGCAAATGTGAAACCTTGAGTTCAAATCCCTACACTAGCAACTTCTTATCCTAACTGGACATTTTCCTCTCAATAAATTTGGGGTGAGGGGGGAGATTGAGCTGCTACTTAAGATCCCCATTTTGACTAGGTAGAAAAAAAGGGTTGGTTTTTTTTTGATAGAGTTGCCACTTTCAGCAACTAAAAGTATAAGCTGCCTAGTTAAATTTGAAATTTGGATAAAAACAAGTAATCCTAAAAAATATAAGCATGTTGCATGCAACCTGTAGGATATAGTGAAGAATCCTGCACTGTTTATTTGAACTTCAAATTGTGTGCTTTCTTGTCTTTTATCCAACAATTCTATTTGGGAATGATAACCAGTTTTCCTCTTCTATGCATATCTGCGGGGTCAGACACAGCAGGGCTGGTGACTGAGGGGATACCTATGCATCCATGAATCAAGCTCTGTCCCCATGTTGTGTGGACTCAAGACAGAAAGACAACTGTGGGCAGCCTCAGTTTCTGCCCAGGGTGGTGTTGGTGGTGAGAGTCTACTCAGGCTGGAGTTTCACTCTCCAGGGTTTCAGTTCCCTTTAATCTGAGAGAGAGAGAGGACCCTGGTCACCTGGTTTAAAACCTCTGGAGGACAGGCTAATGTGCCTGCAGGGAGGGAGGCCACACATTTCTCTAATTGTCCAGAAAGATCACCTAGCCCTCAGGAATTCTAATTGCTCTCAAAGAAACCCACCTCATCCTGTTCTCTGGGTTCACTAGTGAGTCGCTTGGGGACCAGATGCAAGCTATCTGAGCCCAGCCCCTCGACGCGACAGACCTGCCCTGATGTCACCTCCCAGGTATGGCTGTCTGCAACACTGAGACTTCACAACAGAACTCACCAGAAAGGTAAAGTAAGCCTTGGCACACCACCCATCTAAACACTTCACCCTGGATTGCAGGGTGGTTTGACACATGTGTTCCTTTAGCACTACCCCTGCAGTTGTGTGTGCGTGTGTGTGCGTGTGTGTGTGTGTGAAAGAGAGAGAGAGAGAGACAGGCACAGGAACACAACCTCCAGTCCCTAACCACTCAACCACCTTACCGGTGACTTCTTGATGTCAGAGACGGCGTAATTTCCCTGGGACAGCCATCTGGCAGAGTCGGTTAGGGACAGGCCTGTTCCGTACAGGTTGATGCTGAAGCGGCCCTGCAACAGATGACCAGCACAGATGACTTTTAGTTGACAGTGGCATCCCAGACAAAGGCAACCCAAGGCAAGGTGCTTGAGAAAGAAGCGTATTCATTCGTTATGACAGTCACTCATTTATGGAAGGTGTTTGGTTTCTGCTGGCGCTGGCTACTTTATGTTCATTGTCTCCCTTATCCTCTCGAGAGCTCCAGGAAAAAGATTTTTCTTTACAGATGGGGAAAACTGAGGCTCAGCAGAGGCGATGAATGCTCCCATCCACCCTGGGGATTCAGGAAGAGCTCAGCTCCTATCTTCCTGACTTCAAAGTCTTCCTTCCCAACCACCTCCTCTCAGCTTCCCTTGCCCAGCAATCCCGACGTTGCTCACAATTATCAGATTCCTTCAGGAACAAAATGCCACAGTCTAATTTTTCTAACAAGATCTAGCTGCCAAAGCTTGCTGGGCATCCAGCCCCCTGGGACATAAACACACTGCTGGTTCTAAGCACAGCAGGGCGTAACTTCAAAGCAGAGGTACTTCCCCAACATTGCCAGCAGAGGGCAGGCTCAGCCCACTCAACACAGCCAGGGACCACGCCAACAGCTTTCCCAACCTAAGGAAAGATTTCCCCAAAGCCCTAAGGGTACTTCAAGGGTGGCCTCCAGCGTGTCAAAGTTTATCTGTGTGTGTGTGTGTGTGTGTGTGTTGTATGCATACACCCACAGACTCCATCTGTTTCTCCTTCAAAGCCTCCCCAGTAAAGGGCAGTTTCGGAACTGAAAATGCTTTGAATGACCAGGATCCCTGAACCTGCTGATGTAATACTTGAGCAAAACCCTCCTCTATAAAGCCAGAGAGAAGGGAGGCGGCTCGCAGCCACACAGTCATGAGCCTCCACTGAGCTCTTCAACCCAGGGATTCCATTCTGGACATGCTCTTCAGACTCCCGACCTCAGTGTGCACATCTGTAAAATGGAAGGTAATGAAAGAGCTTCTAGCCATTGCACGACTGGTGTTTAGTAGATACTCCAAATACTGGCATTTGTCCCTCATTTTCTAATTGCTTCTCTTCAACCTAGCAGGGGCTTGGTATTGATGATGTATCTTTATCTAGCTATATCTAACTGCAAAGATATAACTAGATAAATAGATGACAGACAGATAGACAGACAGATATGTTTTGATACTAGGGCTTGAATTCAGGGCCTTAAAACTGTCCCTTAGCTTTTTCACTTAACAATGGTACTCTACCACTTTAGCCACAGCTCCACTTCTGGCTGTTTTTGTTTTTTTGTTTTTTTTTTAAATTGATTAATTGGAGATGAGTCTCATGGACTTTCCTGGCTGGACTGATTTCAGAACATGATTCTCAGATCTCAGCTTCAGATCTCAGGCCTGAGCCACCGATGCCTGGCTAGCTTTATTTATATTAGTAGTGGTTGGTAATACACAACTAGCCGCTTGATAGATTCTCAATAAATATTACATCCTAGGTCCCCAAGGGAGGATTCTAGGGAGAATTCCGGGGGTAGGAAAGGAGCTATGGTTCTTGTCTGCTGCTGAGCATGCCCAGCTGCTATTATTAGTATTATTTAACGCAGGGTCTCACTGTGCAGCCCAAGCTGACCTTGGACCTTCAATCCTTCTGCCCTAGCCTCCCAAGCGCTGAGAAAGAGAGGGCAACCCCCACCCAGGGCTTTTCTTACGTTACTGTCACTCCTATTTAGAGAAGCTAGCCCTGCCATCCTAGGCCACCCTGTTACCATGGACACTCTTTTCCTGATTTACGTTCAACCTGTCTTCCATCCTCACTACAGAAGAGAGACTTGGAAGTTCTTAGATGGTCCAGACCACTGCCCTGTCTGCCTCCTGATACTGTCCCCAACCAACCGGACATCTGTGTCTGAGCATGCTCTATATGGATCTATGACAGAGTGACAGCCCCGAATCCAATAGGAGTTGTGCTATCCTGCTCACTGTCCGGCCTTCTCTGCGTTTCCATCCAGCATCCTGGCAGAGGAGCATAGTCCTCATGTGTCCCCAAGCTCTGTTCTCTCTGTTCAGCGTCACCTTTGGCCCTGGGTTCTAACCAGCGTAAGTGTGATAGCCACTAACCCTCGCTGCCCATTCAAAAGAAGGAAAGCCACTAAGCATCATGCCTACCCTACGTGGTCCACAGAGGTTTGCAAAAGACATGCTTAGATTAGCCATGGGTCCTGCTCCATCACTGACAAGAAGAAGTGCTGCAGAGATGCCGCTTGGCTACAGAAAGCCAAAGACACATTTGTCCTCATGGAAATGCGTTCAGACGTAATTAGGCTCTTACCTAATTACCTCTGTTCCCCCCACTTTCTTGGGGTGTTGTGGGGATTATTGACAGCTGCTTTCTTTAGTGAGGCTGAGCACAGTGTCTCCCAATCAGTGATACATGGGTCATTGATACCAATGCAATGCCAGCAATGCCGGGTGTCTGGGGTCAGGGCACAAAGGATTCCAACACAGGCTGAGGGATGAACTACCTTCATGGAGAAAAATCCTCAAAGCAAAGGCAGTAGATAAAGCAGACATGACAGACACTCAGAGGGGCCTCTCTGATTTCTGCACAACCATTGGGTCAAAGGACAGATTACCTACTCTGAAGTAGAGTGCTTCCCACAGACTTTCATGGAAAACTCATTTCAAAAACATCCCCCCCCACCATGCTGCCACTGGGACTTGAACTCAGGGCCTGTATGCTGTTTTTTAGGTTGGTTGGTTTGTTTTCCATTCAAGGCTAATGTTCTACCACTTGAGCCACAGCTCCATGTCCAGCTTTTTGGTGGTTAACTGGAGATGAGTATCTCATGCACTTTCCTGGCTAGGCTGGCTTCGAACCACAATCCTCAGATCTTAGCCTTCTGGGTAACTAGGATTACAGATGTGAGTCACTAGTGCTCAGCAGAAATCCCATCTTTCACGTCTACAGTTACTGCTCAGTAACTCAATAAACATCTGTGGAACCAAATCGTAGAAGAGTCCTGATATGATTTGAAGCACGGGTTAGGAAAAATAAAATCATAGATTAACTTAGTAACTTCTCACTGGTTTGGGGGTCATCCCAGGTCGACAGCAACTGCTTCTCATCAGAATTGAGTGAATCTGTTCCTTTGCCTCTCAATTATTGAAAATAAATGGATACAAAGTACCGTTCATTCAGGAAAGCTTCCCCAAGGACATGCATGGAGGAATGAAGAAGTCCGGAGGCTTCTGAACAAGAGCTGGAGAGGGAGGCAGATTAGCAAGCCCACACAATGGGGGCCTGAGGCCACCCATTGCTCCGCACAGCAGAGATGTTCTGCCTTTACCATCTTGCCCTTTGTTTATTTCCTTTTTCCCCACACAGCCTCCTTTACACCTCTTTAAAAAGCCAGGCCAGATGCGTTTATCTTCCAGTGGTCCCTGTAGTTGGAGGTAAATCTATCTATCTTGGGCAGACATGCTGGGGGTTCTGAAGACCCCCAGTTCCAGGCCCCCAGACCTTTGAAGATCCATCTCAAAGGGATTAATTCCCAATTCTGCCTACAGCTTTGGAAAGACCTTGTGTGAACCCAAGAATCGAAGAACATACGAAGGCCAACTTCCCTGGTCCAGAACAGTGCGTTCATTATGTCTACCCAGCTGAACCAACCAAACAAACAAAAAACAAACCCACTGCCTACTCTGCAAAACGAGCAATGCCAAGGCTGATGAGTACAGCATGTTTCAAAAGGCCACACCTCCCAGAGGCAAGGCTGGCCAGTGGAGAAGAACAGGGGGAGGGGGGGGGGAGAAGGGAAGGGAGCTGGAGAGGCATCCAGGAGACTGTGGATTTACACCTAGGCTCCTGAGTCCCCTGCAAATTCTGCACAGCTAAAGACCGAGTCACAGACACTGAGGATGTGTTATTATTCTGTCGTGATTGTTTTACCTGTCACTGTCCCCAGTGGGCCATGAGGTGGACAGGGGAGGGACATTTGTGCGTTTTCAATCACCTGGATGGTGCCTAGCCCCAAGCTGACACTTAATGAACATGAGCAGACTTGCTAAGACACCCCGTGAGGACAGTTGCGTAGACCCAGGCAAGGCCTGGAAAGCTGGCCACCTGCAGATCCCATCGCTACCGAGACCCCACAAGACTTGGAAGAAGTCCTTCCAACTTCTTTCTCTACTTATATATATTTTTTGAAAGAAAACATAGGGGTCCAACAAGGAAAACAAAACAAATCACATCTTACCCCCTCCCCCAACTTCCTACAACACAACAAAGCCCAAAATACACCGATGGAGTTGCCCTGCATGAAGGAATAAATTACATCTTTGCATTGAACCTAATCCTATGTGTAGTTTTCTACAGTGTGAAATAACCAGTCTCTGCTGTGTGTGTGTGTGTGTGTGTGTGTGTGTGTGCGTGTGTGTCCTGGGGTTTGGGCACTGTCCTTTCGCCTTTTTTGCTCAAGGCTAGTGCTCTGCCACTGAAGCCCTAGCTCCACTTCGGGCTTTTGGGTGGTTAATTAGAGATAAGGGCCTCACAGACTTTCCTGCCACCCCCTTGCTATCGAACGCCTTGTTGTTTCTAGATTTTACCACTCCGCAGGCTGCATCTCTTGGGGTGGGGTTCCCCATGAGACTCTGAGCAGGGGGGAAGCCCCGGATGCACGGAGGGCCAATGGCCCTGCAGAGCTGCTAACTGCATCTCCAAAACAAATGAGCTGACAAGGTGCCCCTGCAGAGGAGTGGGGTGAGCCCCGAGGGAGCACGTACCTGGGGGCACTTGGCAGCACTGTAGCAGTCCCCAGCCGTGGCAAAAGGAACGGGGTGTCCTTCGCTGGTCCTGGCAAACTGTAAGTCAGTGGCTGCAGGGTGGAGGGCGGGGATGGCCGGAACGAGACAGAGACGGGACAGGATATTAACAGGGAGGCAGAGAAGATGGATAATAATACGGAATGGCAGCAAATGAAACCAGAAGCATTAGTGAACAACTGGACCCAGAGGTGAGCCCTCATTAGATTGATGGTTCTGAGCTCTGTTCCCTGGGTTTTGTCAGTCCTGGAGGAGGGACTCCTCACAGTATGATTCCCTCACCCCCACCAAAGAAGAAGCTTCACAGGACTTTTGGAATCGACGGCTACAGAAATGTGGGGATTGCCTCACGTCAGTGGGGTGTAATTGGGGCGATCGCCACCTTTCTGCTTCGCTGTCTTGCAGGCTTACACTGGGGCCAGAAGCTGGAGGGGGTGGGGGGGGGGACACTTGCAGCTACTTAGGAGCTGGTCTCTGAGGTTCTGCTGTCCTCCGGTGGCCCAGGCACAAAGACTGCCAAAACGTGGAGCAGGGACAACCCACATCTTGAAATTATTAATGGCCGTTTCTCAAGTGTGGGGCTAGCTTGCAGTTTTACCAAAAACAAAAAGCAAAACAACAATAACAAACCAAGCCCCAAACCAGCACACACACACACACACACACACACACACACACACACACACACACACACACACACACACACACACACACACAAAATGCTGACCACAGCTCATATTTGAACTCTCTGATTGCTTTTGAGATGAGCTCTCCCAATGCCTGAGAGAGGAGGCTGGGAGAGGGGGTGGAGCCAGGGTTGGGCTTGGCTCTTCTTGCCTTGTCTTTTAGAGCCTGCTGAAGGACTAGATCTTTCTGCAGAGAGCTGCACTTTGGTGGGAGGGAAATCTCTCCCTTCAGCCCTCACTCATTAGGCAAGCTGAAGGCAATTAAAAATACCTTTGGTACAAATCAAGTTTCATTTACCCTGAGAGGAATACAATGCAATATTCTGGGTAGAATGTTAATGAGGAAAAATGATTTATTCAGTATTTCTGTTTTTCCTCCATCCATCCATTTCAAGGAACATGTTGAGATATATTTTCCCCCCTACTCTTATGATTAATGGCCCTAAGAGAAACGCTGTGTTGGCCAGAGTAGAAAATCAGTCCTTGTATAGGCTTGCTAGGAAAGGTAATTCTAAGCTCCACTTTTCTTCTGTAAATTGACAATCAGATAAAATTAGTTTTCTGCCTGTGTATACTGTGCTTGGGGGGGGGGGGGCTGGGGGGGTGTGTGTGTGTGTGTGTGTGTGTGTGTGTGGCGGGGGGGGGTGCTTTACAAATTGCTTAGCTTTGGGGTTTCAGATCTGCTGTTTCTTCTGGTCCACTAACATCTGGTTCCCCAACAGCTACATGCTAACCCCCACTAGACCATGAGACTTAAAGGTCTTTGTGTGTGTGTGTGTGTGTGTGTGTGTGTGTATGTGTGTGTGCGCACCAGTATTGGGACTTGAACTCATGGCCTGGGTGCTGTGCCACATGTGCTGTGGTCCTACTTTTGGCTTTTGCGGGGGGGGGGGTGGTGAGTTGGGAATAAGAGGCTCATGGGCTTTCCTGTCTGGGCTAGGACAAGAGGCTAGGATTACAGGCATGAGCTATCTGGTAACCTTAAGGTCTTAATCTCAATACTGTGTTTTCTGGGGTGTTGCCCTGAGCCCCCATATTCAATGATGCCCATTGACTCTACTTCATCTCCTTTCGTTCCTCCCTTCCCTTCCTTCCTTCTCTGTCCTTCCTTCCCTTCCTTCCTCCCTCCCTCCTTCCTTCCTGCTGCTTCACTCAGATGGAGATGTGCCCAGTGCCAGGAGTGTTCCAGGCTCTGAGGATCCAGAAGTGGATGCCAGGGACACAGGCCAGCCTCCGGTAGGACCAGTCTGCCTGCTGAATGGAGGAGAAGCAACTCTCTAGCCGCCAGCTCCCTGCACTCACTTATGATCTGCATGCTGCTCAGGTCGATTCGAATTTTCTGGAAGCTGGAAAACCCAGCGGCGGTATAATCCTTCCGACACTGGCAGTCATCGCGCCGGCTGCCATTGTAGGGACATTCTGTTGGGTTGTGCAACCTACATTACAGGAAGAACATTCTGGTAAGGATGGGAATGCTTTTCCTGGGGGCCTCCAGGTGTCTGGGCTCTTCTGAGGCTGGCTGTCCTACCTGTGCCCGTAAACCTCAGAGAAATTCTCAGAGTCACCATGAACCAGCGTCACGTATTCCTTGGGGCGATCAGACTGCATCCCTGCACAGAATACCTGGAAGACAGATGAGCAGAGAGTTGCTCAGAAATAGGACCGTGAGAACAACGATCTAGAATGATCTAGAATGATCCAGAATGATCTAGAAAAAAAAAAGTCTGGTTCATGGCATCACCTTTAGGAGTTTCCCTCTCACAGTCAGGAAATATTCACCATCCTCACGGACACCATTGAGTCTTTTTACTTCCTTGCAGGTCTGGGGTAACTCACCTGGAAGATACAAATTGTACGAATCAGATTTAATGCCCTGGACCGCACTGTTCACACTAAGACTCTTTAGCAAAGGAAGGCATTTCTTTAAGAAAAAAAAATGAAGAAGAGTGTATTTCTAAAAAGTCTGGCAAATACATGAGCAAAGAAATCTTGCTCTTCGAGCTTGGGATGGCGTGCTTACAGTTATAAACATTATGGCAGGTTTTCTGTTCGTCCGGCTTCAAGTCGGTGAGACACAAGTGGCTGGGCTGGTCCTCGTTGGTTAGACATTGCACAGATCTGTGCATGACTCCCACGCCACAGGACACGGAACACTGTAAGGCAAAGGAGAGTCAGCACGTGGCTCCCTGTGGGTGACGCAGGCTGCCAAGCCTGAGGAGCACAACACCCTAGGGTCCCACAAGAGGCAATGGCCTAGATCCTGCTGTGCACAAGCATGGAAATCATGTTCATTGAGCACCTACTACAGACTGGTCTCTGGGCCAAGCTTTAGATACACATGTTTGAGCTTCATATACATATATCGTACATACAATACATAAAGCTTAGGTATATGTAAAACTTAAACTGTCATATATGTATGAGAATTTTATATCTACATATGAGATTATACATAATTGGAAGCGTACATAAATTTTTGCACTTAAAGTGCACGATAACCCAATGATACTGTACTATCATTATTCTGTTTTCATTTTTCTCTTTGGCTAATCTGGGGTTTGAACTCATTGGGGTGGTGTTCTACCACTGGAGCCATGCCCCTAGCCATGCTTTTTTTGAGGGTCTAGGCTACCCTTGAACTGCAATACTTCAGATCTCAGCTACTTGAGTAGCCCAGGATGACAGGTGTGAACCACCAGTGCCTGTCTTTATACTGAGTAGACCAGACTCAAAGGTTAAGAAATGTGTTCAAGGTCATTGGGGTGCTAACATTCCAGCCCTGATGACTTCCAACTTATCACTTTTGCTCCATCATTTTTAAGACTGCGAATCTGGATGCGGTGTCATTTTTTTTTTCCAGCACAGATTCAATTTAGAAAACTTTGAACTAAAGAAAAAAAAATCCAATTTAGAAAATCCTATTACATTTCTAATGTAATGAAGTTCTCCTAACACAGAACCACTTGAATGTACAGAGACTCCCTGACAGAAGCAGCAGAATCTCCTCCTCAAGTGACTCTAAGTTCCAGATTCTAAGTCCTCATTTAAAAGGAAGAATTAAATATGTGTACCGTAAACAACCTAATAAATGGACCACGCAGAGCCATCATAACTTACGGACTCATTTTTGTCCCCCCCCCCCCAGCACCCATTTTATAGATGAGGAAACAGAGGAAAAAAATCCCAGAGCTTGCATCCTCCAGGGAGGGAGCAGAGCCAGGATTCCATTGTAGAGGAGCTGAGCCTGTGTGCCAAGCACCCCGCCCCTTCTCTCTCCCAGCCTGTCACATCCACACTGCTAACTGCGGTTTCTCCCTCAAGGAAAGTGATTTGGGCAAGCCGGCCAGCCTTCAGAACAGGGTAAAGACTTGAGCTCTGACGACTCAGTCATCAACTTACACTTCCCCAGTTGCCAACCCTCCAGGTGGCCGAGACGGGGCAGTCCCTCAGGTAGCAGGGGTGCACGCTGGGGGGCCGCGTGCCGGGGCAGTTCATGGTGGTTTGGTAGCTGTACTCGTAATTCTCCTTGCCCGTGTAGATCTCGCTGCAGGAGACCAGCCTTTGTTTGTAGCCCTTCCCACAGGTCACTGAGCACTGGGAAGAGAGGGGAGGGTCACTCCTCACCTGGGGGCAGCCACAATGGGCCCCAGCCCTCCACCCCGGCCTGACCCCAGCACACAGATCGTGCTCACTCATCAGCTCATTTATTCATCCGCAGCTGTAGCCAGAGTACCCAGGAGGTGGGCGACCCGCACGACCTTCCCTCCCCACCTGGGGGTTCCTCCTGCAGGTGGGGGCCCCACAAGCCCCTTCTCTGTGCTCTGAGAGAAGGGAGGAGGCAGAGCCCAGCTGCCACCAAACCAACAATGCCCCTAGGGTAGAAGTGGGGGGGGTGAGGTTGGGTGTGGCGGGGAGGCCTGTCTGCTGTGAGTCTGTGCTTCCAGCATGAAATGCATTCAGCCTAGGAGTCCTGGGGCCATGCCTCCTTCCTCCCTGGTGCTGAGCGCTGTGTTCTCTTCCCTCCTATTTTCTCTGTCTCCTCCCTATGTGCCTTCTACCACCTGAGCCACAGCACCACTTCTGGCTTTTACTGTTTACGTGGTGCTGAGGAATTGAACCCAGGGCTTCATGCATGCTAGGCAGGCACTCTACCACTGAGCCACCTTCCCAGCCCTGCTTATGTGCTTTGATTGGCATGTTCTTCTACTTCTCTCCCTGCCTTTCTGTCTATCTGTCTGTCTCTCTCTCAGGTGCATATGTCCTTGTCTCTCAACCTTCCTTATGTGATGATCTGTGACACTCCCCCCAATACTGAATTCAGGGCCTGGGACCACGATGCCCAGCTCTTGATGTGACTTGTTTATGTGAATCATATAGTACGAAAGGAAAGCGGGGGGCTGAGGGGTAGCTCAGTGACTCATGTAGCAGGTCTTGCATCGAGTCCCCACCAGGTATGTAACTCAAATGAATGAGAAGGAGGTGAGCCCGCCTGTACACAGCACGAGCTAGATGGCCACAGTTGCCACCTCTATTGTGTCTTTAGCATAAAATATACTTTTCCTGCTGCTTACATTTCCTGAGGCACCTGCAAGCCTCCTATGAATTTATAAACCCTTTAAAAATAAATCACACCAACAGGACATCAACATGAATGACAGAATGCAGAATGCATCTTCTAGACCTCTCTCCTCATTTGCGTGTCTGTGGCCTAGGTGGGCGGAGGGACCTGCCCGATTACATACAGTTCTCAGGTGTGGAATGGGCAAGTGGATCTAACCCAGCCCATTCCTGCCACTCTGGGGCCCCGGCTGATCTGCAGGCGGTCCCAGACTCCCCGGGACAGTACCTCTGACCACTCTCCTGTGATCCACACATACTCGCAGGGCTGCGAGCTGCAGCTCTCGCCGTCCGCGGGCCGCTGGCTGGCATCACAGTGTGCCGCGTGCACCTCGCCTTGGTCCTCGGCCACGCATCTCACCCGGCGGTACCGGGTGCCTTCGCCACAAGTCTTGGTACACTACAAAAGAAGTGGAGAGGTCTGAGGCTCGACAGATGGCTTCCAGCATCTTAGTCCTGCCATCGCTGGGTTTCTGTTACTTTGCAGCCTTTAAGCCCATGAGATCTCCAGGGCAGGGGCTGTCACTGAATAGCACTGCTCTTAGCTCAGGTGCTGGTGTCACACACAGCATAAAGGAGCAAAGCTCAGGTTGGTAAAAGTCTTCGTTGAACACTTAACTCAAATACTTGAAATGCACAGCGCCAAGGCTGGGAAGTGGCTCAGCATTAGGGCAGCCCCTTAATAGGCACAAGGCCACAAAACAACCACCTCCCCAAGACCTCAAAATGGATGGTGCCCTTTTCATCCAAGATAAAACAAAAACGAAACCTGTGAAGTGATCACCAGAAGAAAAGCTTTAACTACTTTAGAAAAGGGAATTCCACACCTGTAACCCTAACAACTCTGGAGGCTGAGATCTTGAGGATCACAGTCCAAAGCCAGCAAGGACAGGAAAGTCTGTGATTATCTCTGATTAACTACCAAAGAAAGCCAGAGTGGAGTTATGGCTCAAGTGGTAGAGCTCTAGCCTCGAGCAAAAACGCTCAAGGATAGCACCAGGTCCTCAGTTCAAAGCCCAATACTGGCATACACACACACACACACACACACACACACACGATAATTCCTTAGACAATTAGGATTTAGATGACTCTGAGAAGATGGTGACAGTTGAGCAGCTACCCCTGACAAGCCTTCCAGGATGCTCACTGTCACTAATCCATAGACTGGAACCAATGCCAGGTGAGACTTTGTGTGCGTCAAGTGTTTTCTCCTCTGTCACGATAAATGGTTAAACTACCATGAAACTATTTTGCCTGTGGTAGAGAAGGCAGCTGGGATAAAGTAACTCTTTGGGAAAATTAAAAATTAAACTAGGTAAATAACTGACTGAACTCATGCTTTGGAAGTCGTCAAGAGTTGCGCTGAAAACCGTGTGACACAAAATTCCTTTCTCCTGAAATCTTCCATGCTGGTGAGGCCACGGGAGATGGGTGAGCAGAACTGAAATGCAGGCAGGTGCCGGAAGTTTGTCAGCACCCCCAGACACCAACCAACGATTTATGATTCTTTCTCCTATTCTGGGTTATGATCTAGAATATTCCAAACAACAGGAAGGAAGTTCACATAGTCTCATTTTTAATTTCTAAAGGGTTTCCTCAAATTTCATTCTGACTTTTAGGGAAGAAGAAAAACCCGCTTCTACCAAAGGCATAAGTAACACCATGAACTGATAAATGTCAGAGGATGCACCATAGTTCAGCAGTTGCTGGGACACATAGACACCTTGCCCGTAGTGCCTTTAAATGTGCTGAAATGAATGGTGGGAGGAATTTGATGGGGATGAGGCCCTAAGACAATCTCGTGAGGTACTGCCTTATTCAGGCAGGTTGGTGGTGACATGAGTGATTTCTAAACAAGATCATTTATTGCCGTTGGTAGAAATTGTCTCTCCTTAAAGGCTGTAATCAAGACGCTTTCCACTTTGAAATGTATCTTTTTGTACAATTCCTTAACCACGGGGGCACAAAAATCACTTGATAGTCACAGGCTCTACATTTTAAGGGTTATTTTCTTTGGAGAGGAAGGAATTTGTCGTGGCTCATGTCACCCAGCTACTGCTAGAAAGCATCTACAAGGACGTGTCACAGAATGAAGGGAGAGACTGGAGAGCCTGGGGTTTGGGATGGTATAAGTGTTTTTTTGTCTGTTTGATTTTGTAGAGCCTGGGTTGAACTCAGACAAGTGCTCTACTTACTGCCTGAGTCCCATACCCAGTCCTTTTGCTTTAAGTTTGGTTTTCAGATTAGATCGTAGAGAAGGTCTTGGAATGTGATCCTCTTATCATTAGCTTCTGAGTAGCTAGGATTAGAGATGCAACCACTGTAACCTCGCTTGGATTTGAGACAGAGGCCCAGAAACGTTTGCTTGGGTTGATCTTGAACCAGGATCCTCCTACCGCTGCATCCCAAGTAGCCGAGATTTCAGGTATATACCACCATTTTTGGCCTTCATTGGTAATTCTTTAGATCATATGATTTGAGGTCTGGGGTTTTAAAGTCTTCCTCATGCCTAGTGTCTGGCACCCTGAAAGTGACCTATTTGCTGAATAAATTCATGAGGAAATGAGTTTTAGGGTTAATACTTACACCTGCGTAAACATAGGAAACCCTGATTGGTTCCTGTGGCCAATTTCATGAAAATCTTTTCAATCAATTGGTCAAGTACTCAGTGCTCAGTACTAACTCCTCGGGGAGAAGATGAGCTTAGAAATCATGCTACAACTGGTCAGAATGAAAGTCAGGAAACTCCAAATATGTAAGAAGGGGGGGCAGAGATCAACAGAAACAGGCCGGGCAGTTGTATAAAGGCCAGCTGGGTCTGAGCACAGCATGTCCATGGCCTTGTGACAAGAAAACACAGCAGCTGTTAGAGGAACAGCCATTTGTACAACCGCTTCCTTCTACAGGCTTCCTTCTAAATAGTTAAAGAGACAGAACTGCCCTTCTCTCCCTGCACCTCCGGGCCTCCTCCTCTTTCCCTCTCTCCTTGATCATCTTCCATTCCACCCACTTTTGTCCAACTTCCTTCAGAGATTCACCCATTTAAATGCTGGAGAAAATTCTGGATGACAAACTCTTATCTTCTCCACAAGAGGAAAAAAAAAACCCACAGTACTTCACACTTTTCTTGTTAAGAATAACAAGGAGACCTAGAATCTTAGTGGCAGGACCAGCCAGCAGTGGTAGTGGTCCAACTCCACAGCAGGAACAGCCCAGCAGGTGAGCAGGAGGAGCAGCCCAGCGGCTGGCTGAGCGGCAGGAGTGGTCTGGTGTAGGAGCTGCCTGGTGGTAGAAATGGCAAGAACAGCCCAATGGCAGGAGCAGCCAGGCTAGTGGCAGTGCCCAGTGCATGTTGATCTCAGAGACCAGAACCTAACCTTTCCAGTCCCTGCAGCAGACCTGACTGAGCTCCCTCCAACTAGCCTGGGGCTGAGCATGCACACAGGTGTTTGCTGGTCCTGGGACTCTGTGGGAAAGCCTACCCTGTGTGAACTAGCCTAAACCAAGCGAAGGCTGCCACAAGTCAGGTGAAACAGGCCAAGCTGGGGTCACAGCCCAGACAATCTGAACCCAAATGCCTAAATTACAATGAAAAATTACAAGATTAATGAGCAATGAAGACAATAACAACAACAATAGTCAACAACAATCCAGGGAAGGACTCCAGCGAGAATGAAAAAGAGATGGATGACAAAAGAACCATTAAAGAAGTGGTGACAGAATTGGTCAATAACATAAAAGGGGACATGCAAAATCAACTTCAAAAGCTCAAAAAAGAAATGACAAAAATCCAAGACTCTCAGAAAGATACGGAGGGAAAAAGAGACACGCTATACAACACATTAAAAGTTGAAATGAGAACTGATCTTGGAACATAAAAGATTCAATTTCCACAATGCAAACCACAGTGGAATCCATAGGTAATGGAATAAGTAAACTGGAAAAAAGAACTTCAGAAGTCGATGATAAAATAGAGGAGCTAGAACAAAGTCAAAAGTATGGAAAAAACACTCAGAACCTATCACAGAGAAGTCCAGAAATTGGCAGACTCAGCTAAGAAATCAAACTATGCATAATTGGGATCAATGAGGGGGAAGAATTTAATAGTAAAGGCATTGACAACCTACTCAGTAAAATAACAGCTGAGAACTTTCCCAGTCTTAAGAGAGAAAATCTCACTTGCTTAACAGAAGCATATAGAGCCCCCAGTAGACTGGATCCAAGAAGAAACTCTTCTAGACACATCATAGTAAAAACATCAGATATGCATAGCAAGGAACTGATTTTAAATGCCACAAAAACTAAAGAAGGAGCTATATTACAATGGAAAGAAAATCAGAAGACTGCAGACCTCTCCACACAAACCCTCACACAAGGAGAGCCTGGAATGTTATAATCCAAGCACTCAAGATCAACAACAGCCAACCCAGATTGATCTACCCAGTGAAATTATCATTTACACTGGATGGTGAACCCAAAACCTTCCATGACAAACAAAAATTACAGAAATTCATGATCACCAAACCAGCATTACAAAGAATTCTAAAGGAAAGAATATAAGCTGAAAAAAACAATCAAATCAAAGAAACACATCAGACAAAGATCGTTAGAAGATCAATTTAGTAAACACAGGAAGAAGACAAAAACAAAATATAGGAAATCAAGAAATGGCAGTAAACATGACACATCTCTATATAATAACCCTAAATATTAATGGGCTCACTTCTCCAATCAAAAGAATAGCTGACTGGATAAAAATAAGATCCATCCATTGTTTGCATTCTGTTTTGGGTTATTTTTTAATTGATTAAAACTTCCACTAATTGTGATAGATGTCTTTTAGTATATTATTACCTGTCACATTTTTTGAATAAATAAAAGATACTAATCTGTGATCTTTGGTAAAAGAATTAAGATACAGACATTTGCACAAAATAACATACGTTTAGATATAAAGAACCATCAAGAGCGTCATAAAGGCCATAAAGCTAACTTGTAATAGAAAACAGCCCTATTGCCAAAAAAAATGCAGCACAGTCCCAAGCATAGGGTCTTTCTTTCCTCCACTACCTCACAAAAAAAATCAATCCATCAATTAATTAAAAAAATAAAAAAAAAGAGTAATTTGAGCCCTACATGAAAAGCACTGAATCGATCATGAGTAGGGAAGAAAGAGCAACCAAAGCCTTCTCAGAAGTGACAACTTGCATAAAGACTGATGGAATTTACAGGGAGACTGGGGTGAGGGCAGGAGCAGGGTAGCCTCACTGTGATCAAAAAGCAAACAAACAAAAACCCCAAATAAAAACACATTTGCTTGTGAGATATATCCCTTGATGTGAAGGGTGCATTATCCTATGGACTTAGTACTTACAATCTGACTTTGTTAAAAGGATAAGTGTCTTTATGGATCTGGTGAAATTAATAAGCAAATCCACTGGAAAATCATTCTCAAAGATATTAAAAATCTCTTTTTGTTGTTCTATTTTTTTTCCCAGAACAGCCTCATGAGCACTCTAGTACAAAACTAAACTATATTATAGTTTATACGTTATTACATTATGGTACAAAACTACATTCCATACTAAAGTGGAGAGACAAATTACTGCCCAGTACTGGTAGGCACTACTGGAAGGCCAGCTGGCTGGGCCTCCTCTGAGCTCGAGGGGAGACCCCACACAGAACGACAAGCATCTCGGGAAAGCTTGTAAGTTTTACAGTGGCTGAGGCAGCCGGCTGGTCTCACTGAGATCCTGCAGCCACGCTTGCTGTTCATTCTTACTCTGGAGATATGCAGACTGCAGCCCGAACCTCAAAGTCAAATCCGCATCAAGTGGGGTGACACATTCCTTCTCTGCACCCAGTCCTTCTGTTTGTACTTTGCTTTGTGCTCACTAATTTGTCCTGGGCTGTCCTGTAACTCATGATCCTTCTACTTCTGCCTCGTGAGTATCTGGGATCACAATAGGTGTACCCCACCATTATCTACTGGGCATCCTCTTGTATAATTATTATTCCTGAACCTGAGCACCCAAGTCTTCCCTTCAGAGGCTAACAAGAGCACACAATGTCCTGTGTCCACAGCGTAGCCAAAGGCTGCACAAGGAACTGAGGGGCTGGGACCGCAGCGAGTCTTTCCCACGACAAAGCTTTAGGTCTGACAATCAAGCAACTGGACTTAGAATCTCACTTTTAAAAGTGGGTTATGCTAGGTGCTGGTGGCTCATGCCCATAATCTTAGTTACTCGGGAAGCTAAGATCTGAGGATCATGGTTCAAAGCCAGCTGGGGCAGGAAAGTCTGTGAGACTCTTATCTGCAATTCACCTCCAGGAAACCGGAAGTGGAGCTGTGTCTCAAAGTAGTAGAGTACTAGCCTTGAGCAAAAAAGCTCAGGGACAGTGCTCAGGCCTTGAGTTCAAGCCCCATGACTGACAAAGAAAAAGAAAAAGAAAAGCAGTTTGTAATCCAATAAAGGGAAAATGACTTTGAAATCCATTCTCTAGGTAAAAACCTTGCAAAGCCGCTGAGAAGGAACTAAAGTAATTCACCCAAGGTACATGATGATATTGGCAAACTTTCAAAGCTGTGGTACCAAGGCCAGGCCGCTAGGCTTCATATTTCAGCTGAACCACTCAAATGCACAACTTTTATCATGAGTTAAACTACCCATCTTTCAAGTTTCCTCACATTAAAACATGGATAAAAATACAATGGCTGGATCAGGGAGTTGTAGAAAGGTTCAATGAGATAGGTAATCATGCAAGAAATATCCATCACGGTGCCTCATCCATAGCTTAGTAAATATTAAGTTCTATTCTTTTTCTTCTCATTAGTACTGGGGGCACTGAACTGGACAGTTCTAGAGGAAGCCTCTTACATTACAGTCTATAGGATTGGGGCTCCCTGGCATTGTACGGTATACAACCTACATGGCTATACAAAACACTCCCAATGACCATAGGATGGCAAGTGTGCAAAGTCCCTGCTTAATACAGATACCTGGATGATGATGATGATGATGATGATGATGATGATGATGACGATTTTTGAGAGACTGGAGATTGAACTCAAGACTTTCATTTGCTAGGCAGGTTTTCTACCACTTGAACCATACTTTCAAGTGCCTGGATTGCTTCTCAAAAAGAGCTAGTAGCTCACAGCATGTAATCCTAGCTACTCAAGAGGTTGAGATCTGGAGAATCAGTTCAAAGCCACACTAGGCAGAAAAAGCTGTGTGAGATTCTCTCTAAAGGACAGCACCCAACAGGCTCTCAGCTCTAGGCACAAAGTTGAGAAGGAAAACAAACAAAAAGATGAGCAGATGGAGAGAGAATCCTAGAAGAAAAGAATGACTCCACCATGGAACCAATCTGTGGGGAGAAAGGGAGAGAGGGCAGGGCTGGTGGGCTGACCCTGACCTAGGGTGAGGAGTTCAGTTGGAATACCTTGCCATAGATTAAAAGAACAAACTTAGCATCCAGTCTCTCTTCTTTCATTTGTGAGGTACATGACACACGACAGAAAACAGACTCTTTTAACTTCATTCATTCATTCATTCATTCTGTCTGTCTGTCTGTCTCTGTTTCTCTCTCCATACACACACACACACACACACACACACACACACACACACACACACACACACACACACTTCCCCCATCTCAGACTTTCTAGTCCAGGTTGGCTTTGAACCAAAATCTTCAGATCTCAGCCTCCTGAGCTGCTAGGATTATAGGCATGAATCACCAGTGCCTAGCTCAGCCTGCTCGGCTCTGTCTAGAAGCTGAGGTTACCTCTTTTCTCTTAATGAGTTCACCTTCCTAGCTGGATTTTTCCACACGACTGCTTAGTGCCCTCTTTGGCCAAACATTAACTAGAACTGGGGGGAAAGAAAGCTTCGTCTGTTTCTTCATTGACTGAGCAATTTCTGCAGATCAATTTTTAAGTCCTTGGGACTCCTCCACGAATTAATCAGGGGCATCACATGTGCCCTTCTATGTGATGACAATATGATGGGCAGAAAAATACAGAGCAAGTCCTACCTCAAGTCTGCCTTCTGGCTATTCAAACAAGTACAAGAATGACCAAATCCGGCACACATATTTAACATATTTCTCCCACCTTCCCCTCCTTCTGTGAAGTTATCTGCATACATTTGGCACAGGGCCTGTTAAAGCTCTTGGTGCAGTCATCTCTGGAACATTGGAGAACACAGACAGATATAGAAATTGCTTAAACAAGGAGCTTGCCCACCCTTGTCAGAGTGAAGGCTGAAGTCTGACAGCCTAGCTTTTGGGAGCGAGCCAGACATGCCATGGGTCTGATGGCTTTGGGGGCTTCCCAGGGACCGGATGTTATGGTAGAAGGAGGGGGAGCCCATGCCTGGCAGGAGCACAGTTCATGGCTCTACTTACTTCTTGCCATTGCTCTGTCCTCCAGGCGTAGAGAGGACACGGTGTGACCTGGCAGATGCGTTCCGACTCCGGTCTGGTGTAGGGGTTGCACTCCGTCTCTCTGGCTGTTTTGTGGGCTCCGATGTGACAATCCACCTGCCTGTGCTGCACGCCTTGGCCACAGGACACCGAGCACTAAGAAGACAGAGGACGTGAGTGGATGCGTGGGCTCAGGTCTGCGGGCTGGGGTGGAGAGGGTCAAAGGGAGGGGAATGGACTCCTAATCCAATGACTCTCACAGCATCACCAGGCTTTGCTCTCTAATTCCCAGTGAAAGGGGCGCCAAGGGAGTGTCTAAAAGCTGCAAACTCACTGTGAAGAGTGAGGAAGGGCCAGGCATTTAGAGAACTTTCTTAGGATAGCAAAACTCTTGGAACATTGCATATGATGGGAGAGATCTGGGTGAAATAGTTAACATAACTTGGAAGTAACACAGTCTCATGAAATGGAAATGCTAAAGGATTTATACCTGAGGATTTCAGGTTCTTGCAAACGGGGAGATACAGCACTATACAAGAAGCAATTCTTGGCAGATTCCAAGTGTAACTTGAAGTGACAAAGACCACTAAAGATTTAGGGACTTATAAGTTGAATTTTTTTAATGAGTCTTCCTTCTCTTGTTTCTATTCCTGCAGACAAGGGATTTCTTTGCTTTGTTTTTTTTTTTTTTTGGTTGTTGTTGTTGCTTTGCTTTTTTAAATCATGGAATTCACTTAGATATTTGTGTCTATTTGCAACCTCAGAGGAATATATAAAGAATAAAAGCTGACAAGAAAACACCATTTCCTGGGTCTTCATGATTTCAGCCCTTGGAAAACACCATTAACCAACCTGAAATATTTTGTTGACCAAGTTGTAAGTCATCCTGTTAAATCTGCAACTAACTTCTAAATTAATTTGTTAATGTCTTCTTCATTGCTGGGTTTCATAATCTTATAGGTGGGCCAAAAATTATTGCTTTTATTAAGCTTTTAAAAGGCAGAAACTAAAGACAACCTTTGATTAGAAAGAGCATGTTACTGCACTTAGCTATCAAAAGTTATTACCAAGTTCTTGTGATAACTCACTTCATTAATTTGTCTAGCTTAAAAGAAAAAAGTTTATTATACTTCAAAGTTATATTCTAACAAGTCTCGTCTCCTTAAAGAAAAGACTTTTAAACTAGAAAGACAGATCAATCTAATTCGCCTGCGGTTGGATTCAACGCTTAGAAACCTTCCATCAAGATGGTGATATATCTCCCTATTTTGGATTTTTAAGGAAATAGGTGGTATGTTTTAGGAGAAAGCTTGGGCAGTCTGATTATTTTAGGCTGATCTATTCATGAGAGGAAGCTCATAGTTCACATCAAAGTGAGCTGAAGAGAAGCAAATGTTTTGGACTAACAACTACCATTGTCTGGGTTTAATTGTATTAACTATTGAATGAGCTTGTGACCCACAAGAAACCAGAGTCATTTAAAGTTGCTATGTCCTGAAGGAAACGGGAAAAGTCTGCTATGTTCTCAGAGGAATGGAAGGGCCCAGAACCCCAGTGATAGCCCTGACTCTAGAGAAAAGGCATTTAGTGTTCATGGGGGCTCCTTGAGCAGTATTTCTCATCAATTACACTGGAAAAGAATGGATTCCAGTGGTATGGAGTCACTCCATAAATGACAGATATATTCTAACATCATCCTTAACAAAACAAACAGCCTCTATTTGCAATTAGTGTCTCAAATATAAAAGAGTCCATTTCTAGAACAAGATAATCCAAATAAAAACACAAGAAAGAATAGCAATACTGTAAGCACATTTGAGTTTGATGTAAGGATGATTTATATATATATAGATAGATAGATAGATGTATATATATTAAAACTCTCATAATGTCTTAATAACAAAGAAAATAGAAATAGTATATAATACTATTTAGACAAGTAAATAGAGCCTCTTTTTGCTGCTACTGTTATTGAATAAAGTATTTATAGGTCAATGAGGGTAAGCTACAAAAAGTCATAAATATCCAAATTTAAAATTCATTCATCTCAATGTCCCATTATTTTTTCCAAAGGCAGATTAATACCCAAGAAGCTTCCATTTTGCATTATATTGTTTTGGCTTTTGATTTTCATAATGTCACAGCTAGCTCTGAAGTAACACTTGAGAGTTTCAACATGACCTAAGTGCATAGCAACAAACCCTATGTTTCTGAATAACATAGCTACAGTAATCGCTGCTCAAAACAAGGTGCACCATCTGAGTTCAATCTCTGTGTTCAACTTCCTATGGAAGGCAACTTTGTACACTGACAGCCAGCTAGCCTTGCTTGGTGAATTTGGGGGAGATTCGTGCAAAAGTCCCATGAATAACACTGCATCAGAAAGACCTCTCATGCCCAGAGATGTTGACAGTAGTGGTGATGTGTGTGTTCGTTGTTTAATTTGCCTAGTTCCAGTCCATTCTCCTTTTGGTTCCTTTGCAAAGACACTCTTAATGTTCTCACTCTCTCTCTCTCTCTCTCTCTCTCTCTCTCTCTCTCTCAACTCTCTCTTCTCCTCTCCCATGATTTTTTTTGTTTTAGTTCTGAGCAACTGAGCCTGGCACTAGCTCTGGCTGCCTCCGCTCTCCACAAAGCCCTGCTAGTATGCAGACCTCAGTCACTTAAAGGAGGACCTTGACAATTATTTACATAGATAAAAAGAACCTCCCAGGAACTTCTCAGGTTTGGAGACTCACAATGTACACTTGAAAATGTAGAAAGAACATTATAGTATATAGAAAGAACAGTATAGTATCTTTTAGTATTACTGCTAAAAGGATGGTCCTGACATTATTTTAAAGGGGGAATTAACTCGAAAAATAATACAAAGCACCCTTTGGAAATGGCAACAATTGCACATTTTCACTAAGCACTTACTATATGCCAGACTCTTGGTGAAGGTTTCTCAATGGTATAGTTCTTGCTGTGGGGACTGTTAAGAGACTTGCAGGTGAGTGGTATACTTGGTTTGAAACCACTAAATGCCACTTACCTTTACCCTCACCCCAAACTATCTTCAGACATTGCCAAATGTCCCATCAGGTGCTAAATTACTTCCAGTCAGGCTTTGGTGGCTCATGCCTGTAATCTTGGCTACTGAGGAAGCTGTGATGTAAAGATCACAGTTCAAAACCAGCTTGGACAGAAAAGTCTTTGAGACTCTTATCTGCAATTAGCCACCAAAAGCCAGAAATGGAGCTGTGGGTCAAGTGGTAGAGCACCTGGCTTGAGCAAAAAGAGCCAGGTAAGGCACAGTGCCCCGGGTCTGAGTATGAGCCCCAGTACCTGTGGATCTACACAAAAAATTTTAATTACTTCCAGCTGAGGGCTTAGCTCTAGTCTAAGTATTTTCCAGAAAATATCTTTTGTATACTTCCCTATGAACATTTTAGGTAGATACTCTGCAAATAGACATAATTAATGTAGCTCAAGGAAATAATGAAAAACAAAACAAAAAGTACCCAAGGAACTGTGGCATAGCTAATGTGGGCTGAAATTTGGCTCCAAGTTTCAAAATATGGTGCTAATCTGATACACTGTTTGGTACTACGTCAGCAAAAGTGTGGGTGAAAAACTTGGTTTCAGCAATTCACCATCAAGTCTCAAAGTTCAAATAAAAAAATCAAACAAATGGAGAGCACAAATCACTAACACCACTGTTAATTTCTTGCCCCGACCCAAATTCATATGTGTGCCTTAAGTTCTCACAGGATACAGCTACTTGTTTGTCACATTTCTCCAGTAAACATGAGAAGACTAATTTAGCATCAGACATCTCAGCTAAGCTGTCTCATAGCACTTATGAAAAAGGCCATAAACATGAAAAATAGGAGGTAGATTCGTACTACAATTTGCCAGTTCCCAGTGCATCACTAGCACTGAAAGATCTTTAAAATATTAATTTTTATTTCATTGAATACAAGACACTATGTATTATAAGACAGATCATTTTATTTTGTGCCAATAAGGAAGGAAAGAAGGGCTGATAATTAAAGCACAGCGTTCCACTGTTTTAAACCTCATCCTGATCACAAAGATATTCAGCTAGAAAACAACTTCCATCTCAGGATTGATGAATGAGCTCATGAGAAGAATTCCTGACTGATGAATGAAGGAGCATTTCTTTCATTCTAATCTGACCGCTTGTTCTTTTCAGTTCTGCTTTTCATTTCAAGGGGTTTGGGAAAGAAAGCTTTCTCTAGGAAGAGGGTAAGTTTAGAAAAACGGTCCCCTGGAATGCTTCTGTATCTTGAGAATAGAAAACCTTCACAGTATCAGACTGCAGCAAGGATCTAAGGGTGATTTCTGTTTTAAAATTTCATAGGCATCCCTTTGCTCTCAATCAAAATCATCTAAACAGACCAAATATGAACTTTTGAGGGGAAAAAAAATCCTTGAAGACTTAGAGGGAGAATTTTTTTTTTCCTAGAGCAGTGGGTGTCCTTCACAACTTCAAAATTTCAAAAGATGCTGAAGTGAACATTTTACTTCAAATTTCAAAATATCAAATTTGGAGGAGATACTATTAAGATTAGCATGACCACATACACTCTGATTCCAACTTTCTTTATATCATAGTATCTGCATGTTGACCCAATGAGAAATTGCACTAATTAGTCTTCCTACCTTGAAGACAAAATGACTAGGATGTAGAGGCCAGCAAACAAACAAACATGGAAGGAACAGATGTAAAATGTTCAAAATATTCTTGCAAATAGGCAATCATTACTCTTGCTTAATATCACTGCCTTAGGGATACTTATGTTCACCACAGATTCAATATTAAGCCAATAACCTTTAATCATGCACCATGAACTATTGGCTGTTTATTCCTCCGGTTCACTTCCCATTTGCACAAATCAAATTTACCCATGCAGCATCTTCTCCTGCCTGTTCATATAATTCATTTCTGCAAATCAAATCAGGACATCCCAAAGCTGCCCACAAACTCTCAACGATGTTAACTTTTGTCTTTTACAGAAGTAATGACCTCTACTCAACCATGTTTGGAATGAGTATGCTTCTTTCTGGGGAAGGATTCCGTTAATCCAATTATATATGCAACATCACCTACCCCCCCCCACACCCCGCCCCAAGATGTTTCATCCTCATCATTTGAATTCTGTAAGTAATTTTAGGCTTTCCCTCAGGATCACAGAATACTAAAATAAAACGTATTCTCTGTTTGCTAATAAAGAGCAAAAAAAAATCTTTTCATCCTCTCTTTAGTGAATAAAGTAGTCTTTTAAGATGAGCATTGGTTGCATGTTCTGAGTTTAATGTTCAGGGAGAAATGCAATTAGTTCAGTAGAGGCCAAGGAACATAAAGAAAAGCAGCCAAGTATGGAAGTCTTTAAGAGGATGGTATAATTGTGGCATCTTAAAACAATATTAGCTGTGGGTTTCTGTATGAAGTGAATATCAGACCCCAAAATAAAAAGGCTGGAAGCTAATGGATGGCATTAGTCACTTCCAAATCATTAATAGGATGACCAGGTTGGCACACTGCCTTGAATGAAATGCCTGGAGGGGCCAGAAAAGGATGAGCTTTTGTTGGGCTTAGATTTTCCAACTGTTAAATTAAAATAAAAAATAAAACCCCTTGTTTCATTATAATAAAAGCTTTGAGAGGGGCAAGGACACATGCTGGGTCCCATGTTTCAAACTTCTGTGCCATGGAATATGGGGATGGAGGATAACGAGGCAAGCTCAGAATATTTAAGCACCATTCAGGTTTCTGGAAGAATGTTCCACTGACCAGGCTGTAATGGAGGTTCCTCACCACCTCTCTATGTTCCTATAGCTGCATTCAAAGCTCCTTTGCAGCCTTAGGAATCAAGACCCAGACTCTGCAAGAATGTATGCCAGGTTCTATGTACCTTAAGCCTGCTTTTCCACTCATTTTCAGCAGATACAGGTCCGATTCTCCACAGCACAGGAGAAAGAGAAATACTGTAAAGACTCACTGAATCAGATCAATAGTGTGAGGACTCACATAACTGCAGAATATTAAAAAAAAATTGAACCTTGTTACCTTCAGGTAAGCAGCTTCAACCAAGGTGAGAAAAATGGGCAAGTGTGGTCCTTAACACATACCCAGTATTTACAGGTAAATGAAAGCTTTGAAACCTACTCTCATATCCCTTCTGTCTAGCCCAGCAATGTCCGGAATAAGTGGAGCGTTGTGCCATCCGTGTCTTGGGAATTCTCACCCTATCCCATCTAATATACACATCACACTCCTTCCAACGAAATATGATTCTTTAGACTCCATTAGACTCAAGACCCCTGGAGCAAAGCACTTGACATTCATAACTACACTAAATGCTCATAAGAACCACGAGAAGTAGGCTTGGGAAGGTTAAACAAGGCACCCAAGGTCATAAAGATAGAAACCAACAGAGAATGCTCCTTCTGCTCCCCGATCTCTGTTGTAAACAGGCAGAGAAGTGATCTCGAATATCTTATATTCCCAGGAATAAAGGTATTTGTTTAAGAACTTCCTAGGCAAACTCAGACTCAATTCCTGTCAGGTGACCATAGCTTCAGTACAAAAATCAGTGAGTGGTTTTGGAAGTGATAAAATGATCGTGAAAAGCCATCAGCCAAGTGACGAGAGATGCCTCTGTGCTAAAACATCCATTTTCACATTGCATTCAACCTCATAGCCACCCCAATGTAGGATCAGCCAAAGCCCCAGAGTCTGAAGCCTAAGATGACACAGCTAATATCCTGGCCATCCACTCTCCAAGCTCCCCTTTGTAAAACCCAGACCATGCAGACAAACACACATGAAGAGGCTGGTGCCAGCCATGTGGCCCAATGAAAGGAAGCAGTTGGTAGAGGGGAAGCATTGCTCACCTGACTCCAAGCGCCAGCCTTCCATTTGGGGCATCGTCCTCCTCGGCACTTTCTGTGCCCATGTGGCTTAGCAAGGTGTTTACAGTAATCACTTTCTAAATGGCTTCCATCTTTTGCCAGGCAGTAAACATTTCGTTGTTTATGCCCTCGACCACAAGAGACAGAACACTGAAATATAAAGCAATGGCAAGGTTGTTGTTGTTTTCTAATCACACCGAGTTTGATTAAAAAAACCTACATTGTGAGATGTTAAGACCATGGCTAATGTGAGTCACCATTCCCCCACCCCTTTTTTAGTGCTATTTTGGATCAAGGCTCAAGGCTCAGTGCGAAAGGAAGGTGGCACTAAAAAAGAAATAATGTCTATACACGACAGCACCAATCTTATGTGGCACGTTGGCTTACTCAAGAGTTTGGCTAAATCCTGATAATTTAGGCCCCAAATGAAGCTCATGAACCCGAAATCACCCTGCCATTGTGATGGGAAGAACTCTTGCCTACCAAACAAGAAACTATGTCTTCAACCAAATACCTTATTCTCACTGATTGGGATAAGGATATATTTCCAAAACAGAACTGCATCCAAGTTTTTAATTCAACAATTTACAGCTAACTCCCCAGTCATTTTTCCCCGAGAAAAGGTTTTCATTTTCCCAGCCCATTTGGAAGAGGTGCAAAAGGCATGCTAGAAAATGAAAGGTAAGGTATCAGGTAAGTCTGTGCCAATTTCTGGAGGAAGCCATTACCTTTCAACTTTGATCTTCAAGTTCACTGGACTGTTTTAAATGTGACCTTGTCTGACCACATCTAAGAAACTTGACTTTGATTTCAGATTAGGTTTCTCAGAAAGGTTTAGGAAATCAAAGCACCCATAGAGTCTGGACAAAAATCTGATATGACAGCTTCATGTAGAACAGGCAAGAAGCTGGCCCCAATAGGTACATAGAGACAGTCAACTCCCCCTGCCTCATTAGCGATTACAGAGGCCCTTACTACTTGGATCATAAAACCTGCTGGCTCAGGTTTTCAAGACCCATTATTTCCCAATATAATAGTCTTGCCTTTTAGAGGGAAATGAATTTAAGAATGAAGAACAAAATGCAAAAATGCAGCAAGAACAGACTGCAAGCATCATTTCCCAGTATTCCACTTTTCCCCCTTCCTTCACTAACTTTGAGATGTTGTTAGCTTAAATTAACAAAGTGCCCTTTTCTGCCTCACAGATAAATAGCTCCATGTAAAACAAGAAACTGAGTATTAATTCAACCACAATTACCAAGCATGCTACAAGTTATACCATTCATAAATGTGTCAGACATGTTTTTTTTTCCTTTCTGGTAAAGATAAACTGTTATAAAAATTTCAACAGTAGCCAGTAGAGAAATTTAAAATATGTAAGGGAACACATTTGGCTTTAACTTTAGGACATGGAATCATATGTCTGAGCTCCCATTTTATGAGGATTATGATTTGGAGTTTTAATTCTAGAAGTCTTAACAGTGTATGCCATGGAAGGAAGGAGCCTAATTTGAATTTCAACACCAAAACAAAAGTATCCATCATTCAACCTACAGTGTTCTGGTGTATGAAAAGCAGAAAGGCTTTGAGATATATTTTGGAATTTAGGATGAAGCTCCTAGAAGTATTCCTACAAATCTTCTAAGCATGGCCTAATGATATGCCCAAAGATAATTTGTTATTAGTGACCAGTTTTAATATTTAAAAAATGTTTCTTCAATAAGAAAATATTTAAGGGCACCGTTGGAATGATGGATGAGCTCATTTGTTCATTTGATAACTATGAGTAGCTATCATGTTCTAGGAACTTTGCAAAGTACTGGAAATAGAGTGATAATGAAACTTCCCTAGCTCCTGCCTTCATCGAGCTAACAGAGCAGCCATGAAAACTGATATTAATTAAGTGATGACATAGATAAATCGTGTTTTGAGGTGGCTACTATGACACAAGCAGGCTACCGTGTTTGGGAGAGGCTCCCAGAGCCTTTGAGGCCAGACCACTCAGCATAATGAGTGTGGATTTTATTTTGTCCCGAATTGGAAATCACTGGTAGTTTTAATTCAGAGGAAGATATAGGCTGGTTTTTGTTCTGAAATTTCTACTTTGAACTGGGCAACAGTGGCTCATACCTGTAATCCTGGCTACTCAGGAGTTGAGTTCTGAGGATTGTGGTTCAAAGACAGCCTGGGCAGGAATGACTGTGAGACCCTTATCTCTAATTAACTACCAAAAAGCCAGAAGTGGAGTTGTGGCTCTAGTGGTAGAGCATTAGCCCTTGAGCACAAACAACAACAACAACAACAAAACTTAGGGACAGTGCCCAGGTCCTGAATTCAAACTCCAGGATTGGTACTAAAAAGAGAAATCTAGTTTGACCACTGAGTGAAGACTGAATGTGAATATCATGTGAATGGAAAATAGGAAAAGGCACATGGAAGGTAGACAGCAATTGGTGCAGGAAAGAGGCAATGATAGTTTGGATTAGGGCACAGAGTTTTGGTGTAGGGAAAACTGGTGAATTAAAGGTACATTTTTTTGAAGTAGAAATGATATACCTGGTGGATCAGGCATGAGATGAAAGGGAGAGGGCAAAATAGAGGATGACTTTTAGCTTTGGGGAACTTCAGAGTGGTTAGTAACATTTGCTACCATTTTCAAAGATGGGGAAATACTGGAGAAACAGCATTAGAAGTCAAAGGTCTATTTATGGACTCTCTTTATTGGTTGGACATAAAGCACACAAATTTGGGATAACATTTGATTGTCTAGAGTGAAGAAAACCAGGTACCTTCAAGCCATCAAAGGTTAAAAGTTAAAACAGATGCTAATGTGTCCCTAGGGAGAGCAATTTCAATATACAAACAATCCATACAAGCTGACCCTATGTGAAAATGGAAGAGTGAGTGGATAGAGATACTGACTCAGTAATCTGCAGTGGTTAAGTAAAGGCAGAGTGCTCTCATCCTTATATACCAGACAGTGCCCTATGTCTTTCCATACATTATCTCCTTTAACTTGCCAATAATCCACCAGAGCTCAAAATAGCTATAGGTGCTGATTGGGGACAAGTGGTGCTTATAAAATGGTGTCATCACGGTGGTTTAAATACAGCTTCCACAAGCTGCAGTTCAGTGGATGCCTTTCTGCTGAGAACAATTACAGCTTTACGAAAACATAATTATAAAAAAAAAAATCTCCCTACGAGAAACTCATCTGTGGTATGCCACGGATGCTCCCAAGATCCATTGCTAAGGAAATGGCAGATGAAGCTCCTTCTAAACAGGATGCTTTAAAATGTTTAAATATCTAGGTGAGCTCTACTCTGCTCATTCTTATACACATTTTTTCCTATCTGGGGACCTGAATGGAACCAACATTGAAAAACAAATGCAATATTTTAGCATGACTCACCAACCTATTATTTGCCTGGAATTACTAAGATGGAAAAACGACTAGGAAATTCTCAAGGTATCTAATCTGATGGCAAACACTCATCACTTAAAGCTTTCTCAACTAGTAACAAAGCAAAGCTGCTGTTCATGGACATATACCACTTTATCAGGTTTATAAATGGGTCTATTATGACTTCATAAAGGAACTGTCATTTTGACAATTAAATAAACACAGGTTTCAGCTCTTACATTCCTAAGGAAATTTCCATCTGATGATTTACAAGTCTTTCCCAGGCAAATGATGACTTTTACTTCATCAATGCTTGTCACTGAGTTAAAAGTCATATTCAGTAGGTCGCCTAGTATATATTATCCATTGGCTACATATCTGAGAGTTCTTATTCTTTAGAACATTTAAATCCCATTTTCAACTGAAATAGATTCCTGGTTTACCAATATGATTGTGACTTTTTTCTCTTGGGAAACAGCTTCACTTATTTAAAAAGATCACTCTTCCTAAATTTGAGGAAGACTCTGAAACAATGTAATCTCTACTTGTTACTCAGAAGAACAAGGTCATCTTCCCAATGCCTAGGCTTTCAAGCTTTTGTTTCTGGGAAGCCAGTGGATGACTATGATTTTGAAACTACCTTTCAACTTGTCTGGTAGCCATCAAACTCATGTTGTGAGCAATAGGTTGGTAACCTCTCCAGAAACCTTGATAACTCTGAAAAACCTTGATAGCTCTGGATACAATGTAGATGGGCAAAAGAATAGTGTGTTAACAGAGATAGTACTCTACAGAGATACTGAGCTAACAGAGGTAGTACACTAACAGTGTGCTATGCCAGGACTTAGTGGTTCCCTGAACTGGTTCTTGTTATCAAGAAGCTAACAAACAATATATCTACCCAGATGAGAAGTGCTGTGGACCAAAATAGAATGAGATTCCTGGGGCCACTGAGGATTCCAGTGAAGACAGAGTTCTATACAGAATTCACCACAGGGAACCAGGGAGAAGAAGAGGGGGAAGTAGAGATCAGGGAAGCACATGGATCTGGCTACAAGGAAAATTCTGGAAGGGGCTAGAAGATCCTGGTTTAGTGGAGGCACTGGAGTGTGTAGGTGGTAGACCAGGCTCTTCTGAGCTATATAGCTGTTACCTGATATATATGGGTTAAGACCTTGCTGAATGTCCAGGCACAGATGATTTTGGTTCTGAGAAAGAGATGAGATTATCATCCTAAGACATTTGTAATAGAATTGCTGACCAATTAGTACAAATATCCAAACTCAGGATTTACTGATAGCAGGTCAGAAAAAATAAGGATTAGAAGGCCAAGAGAAATGCCAAACCCATACTCTTCCTATTCAGGGATTTTGGGCAATCATGTGACTACCCAGCACTCTGGGGTAGGTTGAGTAGAGTCCTGTTTGGAGAAAGATTATATTAATTACTTTTAAGGCCTGTTTTGAAAACAATATCCAAACTACTTCATTAAAATAATGTTTTGCTATAGCTTTGCATGCCAACAAGTTCTTCTTGGTTTGACTTTAATTCTGACTTTCTTCTTTAAATAGTCAAACATCTGGGAAGTGTGCTAGGAGAGAGCATGTAATACTTGTGTGCAGGAATCAGAACTGCCAATTACAGTGACAAACGAAATGACCACTGCACACGTCACACCATGAGGAAAAGGCAAAAAGGTACCTGGCTGTGGCTACTGTTCCAGAAAAGAAGGAATATAACAGATATA